TTGTTTAATAGTAACATGACCACATACACAAGTCAAATGATTTTATCCTTAAATTTTAAGCTTTAATGAGTTGATCCATTGATCAAGATTCACTCTCATAATAAAAACATGCGCGCACACACACACACACACACACACACACTATATATATATATATATATATATATATATATATATATATATATATATATATATATATATATATGCATGGAAGGATTCGTCCACTCTAAGGATACAAGTTAGAGACTTATTTTTTATCCTCATCATTCATTTTTTAATAATCTAAAATAATAACTATTTTAAGCATTAGATCACCAAAAAGTGAATGGTAAAGATGATCAAGAATAAGTTTCCACTTCTTATTCTTGAAATAAGTGGATCCCTCTCTCTCTCTCTCTATATATATATATATATATATATATATATATAGATATATATATATATATAATATATAGATATATATATATATATATATATATATATATACATATATATATATATATATAATATATATATATATACATATATATATATATATATATTGCAATGTATAAGAACGAAAGTGTCCTGATCTCATGTCCGTTCAATTCCCATGTCCGAGGTATTGTCCGCTTTGAAACTCTCATTTATTATAGTTTTGTCTTTAAAAGGTATTCCGGTGGGTTAAGAGACGAGGGTGTATATAAATTACTTTTAGCCTCGACTCCTAAACGATACGAGACTCATAACGTATTGGAACAAAAACTGTGTCATTTATCATTTTATCAATGATGTTCATGTTATGCATAATTTTATGACTTGAAATCTCATTAATTGTTCCCAATGTAGGTAAAAGTTGTTGTGTTTGATAAGACTGGAACACTAACAGTTGGGAAGCCAGAGGTAGTTAGTGCAGTTCTGTTTTCTGAATTTTCTATGGAGGAGTTATGTGACATGACAATTGCTGTTGAGGTATTTTTCTATGTTGAATACAGTACTTATTTGGATATCAGAATTTCTGATGTAATTTTATTCTTGGTAACAATTTTTGTGCATATGATGGAAAAAGATTAATATAAAAGAGAAGTTGAATCTAATATTTTGACACTTTCTTCTAATGAAATAAAAAATGTTTCCTTGAGTGGATTTCAGGTGGTAGTTTAAAATAGGTATGAACAAATTTGAAAAGCTTCATTTATAGCATGTTTGGTAACATATATCTTGTGGGAACTAATAATTTTTTTTCAAATAACTTTCTGAAGTTAGCAAAAAGAACGATTAGTTCCTCAAAAGAAAGTGAACCAAACATACACGTCATAGATTGGGGGAAAAATTCAAGTTGGTGTCTACTTCCTAGATTTGATTTGGTATTCAAAATTCTCAGTAAAATATAAAGGAGAACGGATTAAGATGACAGTGAAGTTTATTTAATTCAGATATATCTTAATTTATTCATCCTTATCGTTTAAGCTAATTATTCATACAAACTTTTAGGCAAGTAGTGAGCACCCGATAGCAAAAGCTGTTGTGGTACATGCGAAAAGGCTGCGGCAGAAATTTGGTTCTTCCACAGATGAAGTCCCAGATGTGAATGATTTTGAGGTACACATGGGAGCTGGTGTAAGTGGAAAAGTTGGTGATAGAAAGGTTGTAGTTGGAAACAAGAGACTTATGCATGCTTGTAATATTCCAGTAGGTTCTAAGGTTGAGAAGTACATATCTGAAAATGAAAATCTAGCTAGAACTTGCATTTTAGTTTCAATTGATGGAAAGATTGCTGGAGCATTCTGCGTAACTGATCCTGTAAAGCCAGAGGCTAGACGTGTTGTATCTTTTCTCCACTCCATGGGCATTTCAAGTATCATAGTGACTGGTGATAACCGTGCTACCGCAATTGCTATAGCAAATGAAGTAGGTATTGATGAGGTTTTTGCTGAGACAGATCCTGTTGGCAAAGCTAACAAGGTGAAAGACTTGCAGGTAAGGCTTGTGATGTATTAAGCTAAACAAAGATCGTGCTAAAAGCCAGTATTTATCAATTGGATCAAGTTAACTAATGTAGTTGATACATTTTGCTTACAAAATGATGTATGAAGGCTTGTTTGTTTCCCTTCACACTTCTTTTAAAGAAAAAAAAACTATTTTCTAGAGCAATTTTATACTACTTGCAATCAATTTCTCATTCAAATTTATTATTATTTTCAAACCAAGACCAAATAACTGATAAAACTATATGTTTTTTCATTGTCTTCTGTTTTCTTTTAATACCATGTTCAAGTACTCCAACAATTTTTAAAAAACAGAAATGTGCTCACTCAGGACAAACAAATTTTTGAAAACAGTATCTAACAAGGCTAAATATTTGCTGAATTTTGAAACTTAATCTTGGTGCAGATGAAAGGAATGACTGTGGCAATGGTAGGTGATGGAATAAATGACTCACCAGCCCTGGTTGCTGCTGATGTTGGCATGGCAATTGGTGCTGGAACTGACATTGCTATAGAAGCAGCTGACATAGTTCTGGTCAAAAGCAGTTTGGAAGATGTGATCACAGCCATAGATCTATCTAGAAAGACCATGTCACGCATCCGACTGAACTACATCTGGGCTCTTGGTTACAACATTCTAGGCATGCCAATTGCTGCAGGAGTCTTGTACCCTTTTGCTGGAATCAGATTGCCCCATGGCTTGCTGGTGCTTGCATGGCTGCTTCGTCTCTTAGTGTGGTTTCATCCTCTCTCTTACTGCAGTTCTATAAAAAACCTCTTCATATAGAATCCTTTTGATGACCATATTTTATGCCCTCTAGTTTTAATAAGCTCCACATTTTGGCCATAAGAGTCAGGTCAGATGTAACCTTTTTTGGTTACCCAACTGATGTAATTCTTTTCCTGCTATTATTTGGTCCAACAATAGGTCTGCCTGAAGTTCAGAGTTCCATGGAAACAATTGATTTGATTGACCAACATCAGTACCAAGTCATGTATCCTCAGTTTTGATCTTGAGGCTGTTGGTACTAAGATAGGAAATGAATCAGGAACCTATTGAAGGTTCAATTGATTAGATTGCTAAATTGTCAATGAAACGAGTGTCTTCAAGATATTGGTTGAAGAATTAAAAGCAGAAGTCTAGTGATAAAAGGAATTACTTCTAATTTCTTAACTAGGGCTAATCATTTATCAAAAATTTAATGCTTCAATAACCACTATATGTTAAAGCAAATCAGTTTGAAATGAGGGTAAGATTTAGCCTATTACAAAAATGATATTGCAATCTGCCTTTCATAGTTTGTTCATAATTTATACTTGTTTAAAATAACCTGAGCTTAAGTTTAATAATGGAAATTTGGTTTATATTTATTTATGCTGAGTATAGTATCTACGAGTCCAAGTCAATGCCCCATTTATTTTTCCAGCAAGCTGCAAGTAGATCAAGTTGGCACATCGCCATCTCCTTAACTCAAACGTCTGCTTCAACTTTACTTTATGCCATAAACATAGAATATTGTTTGTTTCTTAGGAACAATCTTCCACAACCCACCAAGGCTTTGTGTTTATGTCATGTTGGCTCTGATGGGGAAAGTCACAATTTTTTATATTTCTTTATATGCATAATTACATATTTAACACTAAATAAACTTTTGAGAATTTTAAATTGTTAATTTTGAAATTATATATGTTTTACCATTCTGTAAAATTATATTTTAAATGTGATGATTTGGTTAACATGAGGTGATTTTTAGTTTAGAATAGAATTTGTGTTATACTTTAATTTTTAAATTACACAATTATTCTTATTATCCTACGTTTGTAAATCTTCTCATCAAACTTTTAATTTCACAAATTTTGTCACTAATTTTTTTTATTTTACAAATTTTACCATATAAATTTTAAATTCTACACATCTTAGATCAAAGTGCAGTGGAACCATGAAAATAATTAAAAACTATGAAGTCATAAGTATTTAATTGAAAAAAATATTTGAAAGAAAATAGTGTATGAAAATAGACTTTAAACTCAAATGAAAACTACATCTACCATATACTTTACTTCATCTAGGTAACATTAGATTTAGTTTCCTCTGAGTACTCGTACACACATCATATAATATTTCTAAGCATATTTGATTGTTATCAATAAAAAAAATAAAAATAAAGATGAATATATGCTATTACTATACATATAATTAACTTATAATATATTATATAACCTATGAAGATGATTCATGATTTTTAAATTTGTTTAACCTTATTGCATGTTTATTGTGCCACATAGAATCTTCCACAACCCACCAACATATACTATTCTCAATTTCTCAATAAATATAAATTTCTTAATAACCCTACAACAAGGTCACGACAAATCAAATGAAAAATTTACTCTTAATTCTATTTTAATCTCTTTATTATTGAATTTGGTTTTCCATTTTAGTATATTGTTGGTATAAAATATATGACAAATTTATTAGATACTTCTTTTCAATTATATATATATATATATATATATATATATATATATATATATATATATATATATATAACTTCAACTCGGACATTATTATGAAATTAGAATTTAATATTAGTAAGATCAATAAGTTTTTTTATTAGGAATTTAATCCTTTTATTTCACTTTTATAATATAAATCATCGTTTAATATAATATGTCTAATATTTAACAAATATGTAAATCCTATAACATATTATATTAGCATATGTAAATATTATTATATTATATTATTAAATTCTTAAAATAAAGTTAAAAATGAAAATATTTATTGTTCATATGAGAAGAAAAATATGTACATAACTTATAATTTTATCTTAACTCTTAAATTATACTTGAAAAAATAACAAAAGTGAAAGAAAAAAGCTTTTGTAATAAAAAAAGTCAACGTTACTATTCATCTTCCCAATTGATTCCCCTGTTCTCATCTTCCCACATGAGAAGCAATACAGGATCCAATAATCTTATTTAAGGAGAAAAAAATTGAATAAAGTGGAAAGATATCTTCAACTCCATGCAATGGCCATGCCACTGATTCCTCTGTTCATCTTCTTTTTCTCATTCTCCATATCCAGTAACTCATTAACTTCAATCTCAACCATTACTTATTATATCAAATGTGTGTTTTAGTTTCACAGTTCAATCTGTTTTCTCGTTTTAAAAGTTATTATTATTAGTTTCATAAAATATGGTTCTTAAAGTTTAATTTATGTTTTTAATCTTATTTTCTGTTGTAATAATAGCAGTAATTAGACTTGAAGTTGTTATTAAGGTATTGATTTTTTGAATTTTTGAAGAAACAGGAGGTGAAAGATCAGGGGGAGTAGGGGTGAACTACGGCCAATTGGGGAACAACCTTCCACCGCCCAGAATCTCAGTGCGTCTGATACAGTCGCTGAAGGCGAAGAGCGTGAAAATATACGACGCAAACGCGGAAATTCTAGAAGCGCTTCGGAACACGGGGATTCAGGTGTCGATTATGCTACCGAACGAGCTCGTAGTGAACACGTCCACCAACCAGACATTCTCGGACCATTGGATCCGTTCCAACGTGGTTCCGTTCTACCCCGAAACGCTCATTCGCTACCTCCTCGTCGGCAACGAACTCATCAGCAGCACAGGTGCGTAGGAACCGACTTTTTTGCCCTGTTAATCGCTGAAACTGATTTTGTGTCCCACGGAGACTCGGTTTGTTCTTGCAATTATGCAGTGTTGCTTGTTATAATTTTTTAATGATTAAATTAATAATATTCTATAGTCAAATTGTAATCTTACCGTTGAATAATGGATCATAGAATACTAATATTTACCAAAGGACAAATATTAACGGGTATCTTAAATATTTAGGACTAAAATTTATAAATAATGAAAGATAAAATACATATTTGAGCCTCTTAACTCGTAGGAGTTCACATAAAAAAAATTATATACACTATTATTTCTTAATTTATTGAGATATTTTTTATTGAAATATTTTTTAAGAATAAAATTATAATAAATTAAAATTTTAAAATAAAATAATATAGTGAAAATTAACCTAAGAATGTTATTGTAATGATCATCATAATCTTTTGATAATATCATTTATTTGATGTTTAATATAAGAGTGGGATAAGAGTTTTAATCTAGTCATATAGGTGTTGATTGAAAATTTATGTTTTGATAATCTTATATCAAACTAAAATTAAAAAAAAAGATAATATTTTAAATATAAAAACTAATTTTAAAGATATTATCATAATAGATATAATATCATAACATCCTTATTTTTAGTTAAAATATTAAGATTCATTATTAAGAATATAATCTTGATTTACTCATATGTCACGATAATATTTTTATATATTGACGAATCCTATATCATTTCAAAATTCAGATCAAAGAAAACATATATATTCTCAACCTTTTTTTATCTACTTATAATTTTTTAAATTAGAATAGTAACAAACTAATATTTTAAAACAAAAAAATCTTAAACGTAATAATTAATTTTAATTATATTATCTTACCTAATATGCCCCACGAAATTGTTTCTTTAAGAAAATAATTCATGTACAAAACTTTTGGTCATGAAAATAATATTTTTTTTAATTATTATTTGTTAATGTAATTAAAATGAACATGTAAAATTTTATTATTTTCACCAGTCTCTCTTTTTGGTCACAGGTAACGGAACATGGCCCCACATCGTTCCCGCGATGCGCAGAATCTCACACTCTCTGAAAGCCTTCCATTTGCACAAGGTCAAAGTCGGAACTCCACACGCCATTGACGTTTTGCAATCGTCGTTTCCTCCCTCAAACGGAACTTTCAGAAACGACATCGCGTTTCACGTCATCAAGCCCATGTTACACTTCCTCTACAAAACTCGCTCCTTCTTCTTCGTCGATGTGTACCCGTTTTTCTCTTGGGCCTCCGACCCGGTCCACATTAACCTCTCTTACACTCTCTTCGAGTCCAGAAACATAACCGTAACGGACCCGTTAACTGGGTTAATCTACACCAACCTATTCGACCAGATGGTTGACGCCGTTTATTTCGCCATGAAACGGCTCGGGTACCCAGGTATTCCGATCTTCATTGCGGAAACGGGTTGGCCCAATGGAGGAGACTTGGACCAAGTTGGCGCCAACGTTCACAATGCCGCCACGTACAACAGAAACATAGTGAAGAGGCTTACAAGAAAACCGGTTTTGGGAACCCCGGCTCGACCGGGTTTGGTTCTTCCGGCTTTTATATTTTCGCTTTATAATGAGAACTTAAAGCCGGGTTTAGGTTCGGAGCGGCATTTTGGGCTATTGTACCCGAACGGGTCAAAGGTTTACGACATTGATCTCTCCGGCAAGACGCCGGAGTCAGAGCTCGCGCCAATTCCACCGGCGGTGGATTATAAGGGGAAGGCGTGGTGTGTGGTGGCCGAGGGGGCAAATGTGACGGCGGTGGCAGCGGCGTTATCATACGCGTGCTCTCAGGGAAACGGAACCTGTGACGCGATCCAACCCGGTAACCCGTGTTTTAAACCCGATTCCGTTACGGGTCATGCTGATTATGCGTTCAGTGCTTATTGGGCGCAGTTTAGGCGCGTGGGTGGAACGTGCTTTTTCAATGGGTTTGCAACCCAAACGGCAAAGGATCCAAGTAAGTTTTTTTTTTTCAAAGAATAAAAATATAAAATCTATTAAACTCAGAAAATATTTAATAGCTTGTCATGAAATAGTTAACTCTTTTTTCTGAAAAATCATTTTCATACAAATGAGCTTATTTCTTAAAAATTAAAAAAAATATTTCAATTAAATTTTAAACCTTGAATTATGTTTTTATCCATTTAATAACACTTCAAAATTTAAAAACATTGATATTTCTCATTTTCTCTCCTTTATTTTTGTTTAACATAATTGAGTTCTATGGTTGTTTTTGTAGGTTATGGTTCTTGCAAGTTTCCAAGTGTGACACTTTGAAGAAGCCTAAGTAAATCAAATGAAGTGTGGCTAAAATTAGTATTCTATATTATTTCTGTCACCAGCCAATGAATAATACTCCAAGGTCAGGAAAATTTTGGGTCATTTTCATCTTCATTAATTCATGTATTTATTGTTGCATTTCTTTTCTCACATCTTTCCATTAAAAAAGAGAAACATAATAAATAAAAATAATTTGGTAGAATTCAAGTATGTATTAAAAATGTTTAAAAACTACTACCTTAATTTATTTTCACTGTATTTTAAGGTTTAAAGCAGAGATAGAAAAAATATATATATAAGAATTTTTATTCTAAAAAATAATTATAAATTTGTAATAATTTTTTCTTTTAAAATTAGTTAAATATTAACTAAAAAAATACAAATATAATTGATAAGAAAGAAACTAATATTATCTACAACATTAAAAATGACACACAAATAAAATAAGTATTTAAAAAAGTTGGATGGTTAAAAAAAAATTCACGCTAATTAACATTTATTTACATTAATTTTAATTAAAAATAAATGTCTTTCCTAAATTATACTTCATTGAACATTATAAAAAATAACGAAAAAAAAATTATAAATAGATATTTAATTAAATTAAAAATATCTTAAATGATAAATATTTTATTAAAAATTAAATATATATACTTTTTATATTTAAGGTATATGGCAACTAAATCTATGCTAACATTGAAAATAATTAAATGTGTTAATTATGTCTACTAAATTTATTAAGACTCTAACATATAAGTTATTAAATTTCTTTATTTATTTTTAAAATTCATGTATGCCCTAATTATGAAAATCTTATGGATTATTTCTCATAAATCCTTCAACTTTCAAAATTTTGAAAAATTCTAATGACGAAGGTAAAATAGATTCGATATATTTTGATCATTTTGTTCTTATTTTGTAAAAAAAAAATAAAGTAAAATAAATTGACTTACCATAATGGGAAGGAGTTATAGATCACAGTTCACTTTATCAATTAATGAATCAGTTCACCAATTTTTTCTATATAAGATTTTGGAAATATATTTTTTAAATACATCTTTAATTATATTAATACTTTTTAATTTTTTTAATTAACATTTTATAATTTAAATTATAATATAATAATATATTTTGATATTCAATCTGTTAGTAGGAAATCGAGAAAAACGATCGAAAAATGAAGGAAAGAAAAATCGAGAAACATGTGATTGATCGGTAAAGCGAAAAGGTGGATGAGAAACCATTCGATGTTCAATTAGAAGGGCATGACACATAAAATCGAAAGTTAGAGTCGGAATCAGAGAAATAATAGTCAAAAATTTATTGTGGAACAAACCAAGAAATTAGAAGTATATGATGCTAAGGTTAAAAGGAATCAAAAGTAATCCAAAGTTCTCGATAAAATCGAAGTCTAAATCGAAAGGAAGGTTAACCCGCATAAATATCAAAATCGTGGCCAGATCATAAAGAGAAGGAGTTAAACACGCACATAGGAAACAATTTCTAAATCGTGGCAGAGGTTGAAAATCATGGGAACGTGGGTGTAGTTTTGACACCACAGAAGAAGAAACTGCAACGCGCACGAAGAACGTGGTAGCAGTTTTGTTAACTGCTCCTACAAGGCTTGAATGATGCCCTATAAATAGAGCAGAGGAGGAAGGGTGGGGGGGTGGAAATTGGCAGAGAACAGGATTAGTAGTGAAAAAGTCTACCGGAGAAACGACGAACACCATGAAGCTTCTGGCAATCTGGATTTCCATGCTCACGGAGTACCTTTACCGCTTTCTTTACTTTCCTTGGTAATTTATTTTGATGCAATTTATATTCAGCAATTTTATGTTTATGTATTTTCGATTCTTGGTCATTTCGATTTAATGCAAGTTAAGTTTCCGTATTTATATTCCCTAGTCATTTTACATTAATGCAATTTCGATTTCCAGTCATCTATTGCACCTTTGATTTACTGTCCTTTACATTTTCGGCAAATTCGATTTCTCGTTATTTACATCGTTTCTGTTTCGATTTACCGTCTTTTACACTTAAAGCAAATTTAAGATTCTCGTAGTTTACATTTCTTTGCAATCTAAATTTCAGCACTGATTTTCGATTTCCAGTATATTTCCTGCTTTCTTTACTTCGAGTATTCTTAATACAAAACACCAAAAATAGTATCTTTGAAATCGGGTAAAATTCGATCCTCATACACATTTTGATTGAAAATTAATTTGCTAGCCTAAGTAAAAAGAACTTACGTGGTAGAATTTTGGTTAGTATCAAAACATCTTAAGAGTCGAAATCGATCGAAATTCCACCAGAAACAAATTGGCGCGCCAGGTAGGGGTTACTTGTGTTGAAAAACACAAAATTGGTTAGTCCGAAAGTGTATGAGATTAAGGAGTGGGAGAGTTATAAGAATGAGTCAAAATTCTTCAAATAACCAGAGTAATAGTGAGGGTCTAAATGGTGTACATTCACCAAATACTGGGGGGCAAAGTCATAATGGGAATATGCCTGTAACATCGACGACTACAAGTATGTCGATACCTGTGGGTAACGAGCTAAATTCAGGTACCTTAACAAACACCCAAGTAGGATCTAATACGGTAGTACCAAATAATATGCAAACTATAGGAAACCCCACAACAACATATGTAGGGCCATATATGAGTGTAAGACCGCCTGGGTTTTCCCTTAGTAATACGAGCGGGGCTTAAACTTCTTCAACACAGCGGAATTCGAGATATAACTTAGGAATGCCTCAAACGCTGGGCATGCCCCAGAACTTTGGAGTCCTTCCGAATTTAGGAACATCTTAAAACTTAGTAATCCCTCAGAATTCAGGAAGCGGACAGAATTTAGGCACACAACAGACGCTTCCAAATCTAGATCATAGAGGAAATCTAGACCATAGAGGAAATTTGGAACATGGAAGATATACATTCGATAGAGATTATCATCGATCCAATTTTGAGACTATCGAGAACACTGGTACTGGGATATCCAGTAACTCATTAGGGATACTTAGACAACAAATGGATGAGAGCAATTTTGAGATGGTGAATATGTTATCCCAACAGTTGACTACAGTCCTAAATCCATTAGTTCAAAACACTACAGCTAGTTTTGAGATATTAGCAGATCAAATGTCACGAATCGGGGATGCATTGGCTGTACCTCGACGAACAAGGGTAGAAAATCATGCTAACCAGAATGCCAATATCAATCCCCCATATCTTTTAAGGAGAAATCGAAACAATGATCAACAAATAGGGAATGAATACCAACATGGAAGAAATGATATTTATGGAAATATGAATGAGGGATTTCAAAATATGTATAATCAAAATAACATGCAAAATAATCACATGTTAGGACAAAGGATGAATTTCCAAGGGATAGAATTTAGACCACCCAACCAAACATACTTTGTGTCTCCTTTTCCAAACACGATTCTCGAGACGGAATTACCTCGAGGATACAAAGTACCTAAATTCACCAAATTTGCTGGAGAAGTTGGTGAATCAACTATCGAGCATGTAGCTCGATATCAGATCGAATGTGGAGATCTCGCGATGAGTGAAGAATTAAAAATGAAATATTTCCCTAGTTCTTTGACTAAAAATGCTTTTACTTGGTTTACTTCGTTGCCACCCAATTCGATATATAATTGGCTGCAACTGGAAAGAAATTTTCATGAGCAATTCTTTAGAGGAGAAATTCAAGTAAGTCTCATCGACTTGATGAATATAAAGAGATACAATCATGAAAGCATAGATGATTATTTGAATCGATTTAGACAAATGAAATCGAGATGCTTTACTCAAATTCCTGAATATGAATTAGTCAGAATGACCTCTGCAGGCTTAGAATTCTCGATTAGGAAAAAGTTAGTCAATTTACCATTGAATGATATGGCTCAGTTAGCTGATAAAGTGAGAAGAGTAGAACAAATTGAATATGAAAAACAAAGATATAAGAAATTTGAGAAACCAATGAAGAAAGAAAGAATATCATATATAAATGATGTGTATGAAACAGATCCCACGACAGAGAATGATGTGGAAAAGACTGTCGATGAGAAAGTAAATATAGCAGAGCTCAAAGTAGGAGCTCCATATATCTGTAAATTGCTACAAAAGAATGAAGTAAAAGATAAGATGACAAATCGAACATATACTTTCGATGTGACAAAGGCTGATAAAATCTTCGATATTTTATTAAAAGACAAACAAATTAAATTGAGTGAAGATCATAAACTGCTTACGGCAGAACAAAGGAATGGTCGAAAATATTGTAAATTTCATAATGTTTTTGGACATTGGACTAACAATTGTATACATTTCAGGAATACGATCCAAGATGCGATTGACCAAGGAAGACTGAAATTTGAAGAGATGTCAATGAAAGTGGACACGAGTCCATTCGAAGTGCAAGTGGGATACATTGAATCCCACACGGGCATGACTGAGGATGTCCGAATGACGAATTCTACCTTTGTAGGCATGGTCGATGTTACTGAAGACATTGATCCTAAACATGTTAGAATGGACGTATCTGAAGAAGATATGGAATTCGATCTGAGTGAATTCGAGAAAGAGTTCGAAAAGGAGATCTACCCTCGGTCAGGAGATTCCCTCATTGAGTTTTTGAATAGAAAGAAAGAAAAAGATGAAGATGTGTCGTTATGCCCACGATGCAGTGCGGTATTCGATAAATCGGCTGCCAAAGCTTTCAGATTAGAACAGATAAAGAAGATCGAGAGTCAGAATAAAAGGAAAAATGATAAAGTGGATCAAACGGCCCGACCAACGATCGAAGAAAGTCAACAGAAATCCGTTGGTTCTGGTGTTAGCGGAAATCAAAGGCAATGGGTCAGAAGAGAGATGTATCCTTCTCGAGGAGGAAGAGGCAGACTTCAGAGCAATGATGTCTTCGAGAGATTGTCATACGACGAAGGATCGAACATTGGATTTCCAACATTCTAAAGGAGATTCCGA